TTTTCATACACACTTAACACCTACTAAGAGTACACGTAATCTCGTGCAAGTATTGACTGAATGAAATAAAATTGTTGTTCTTCTTGTTTACTTAAGGCAGATTTTTTATTGGGAATGCATTGTTTTGTTTGATTTCAGCGTAAAATGTAGCCACATAGGGGATATTTCCTCATGCTCTTTTGTCAAAAAGATGGTCCATTGTTATTTTGCAGGTATTGCTAGTGGACCTTTATTCACTTCCTTTGGATTTGACTAAATTGATATTCACTTCTTTCATCAAATTTGTGCCGTACAAAACACTTATGTATTCGCTAGTTCATATGTACATATAACTTGTAAGTTGCAAATCATATTCAAATTTGTGTTGGTCCTGCCTACCTGTTGCTGATGGTTATGCCTCCATCTATATTTACTTCATCCCTATTGAAATTGAACGGCTAGCAACTACACTACAGTATCTTTTTTAAGGAGTCACTGTCCAAATCCATCAAGTAAGGCACCGACTCTATCCCTCGCTTGGGCGCTCTACTTGTTTTCTTTATGAAGAACACGAAAGGATCCAGATTGTTGTATTTTTGCAAAACTTCTACCACAGCCTGCAAATGCATGAGATAATCAAGTTCACTCTCGTGCCGACACTTGCTTGAGCCAAAAGCCACAGGCATAATAGTGCAGTAGACAGAATTTCCACCGCTTCCTCGCTGGAAATCAATGTCCAACGGAACACCCCATTTCTCCACCAATAAGTCCCTTAGTTTGTATCCATCAAAATCTATTTCTTCTTTGTCTTCCTCGTCTTTCGAAGCAACCGCAGATTGAAATGCCTGTAGTGACAACGATTCATCGTCCTCGGACGACGAGGTCGACGGGTCTTGTCGGTTGTCGTTCGAATTACTCGACCCGTATTTTTGTTTGGCCTGTCGGAAGGAAGTCAACGATATATCGCCATCGTTACTCACATCATTCTTTTCCTTTTCGGCAGCAGCCTGCTTTCTTCTCGCTTTCAAAACCTTTCGCTCGGAGGGTCCGTACGTGCTAAATTCAATCACTTCCTCCCAGAGATCGCCCAGCCAATTTTTGCACGTTGTGCTCGATGACGTCCTGAAACTCGGGAGCAAGTGGCTTCTTGTTGAAAACGCTGCGACGGGTTCCAAAGAAAGGGCGATCCCAATAACGAAAGGAACTATTTTTGACCGAACAAAGTTCATTGTTAGTATTGTACACATCCAAGGTGATTTAGTTGCCGATCACAACCATGAATAGTAGTGCGGCAAGTTCCGTACGTAGTTTCGTTTTGATAAAAACCGAAGTTTCTTTTTGAGTTGGGTGAACAACTCGGTGAGCATGATTGAAAWTGAATTGAATTGAATTGAAATCGAGATGACGATTTTTTAGTCACGACTGACTTTCTTTTCAATCACGCCATAGGACACTACGTTTTGCACATGTTTGTACCAGTACCGTAGGATGTGGTGTTAGAGAGTACCATAGAGAGCAGAGCGAAGGACAGAAACAGGACATGTACAAACTACTGCTTTCACCTGTTGCACAATTCGAAGAACAGCAATTCGAAGAATAGCATCCACATTGAAGATGTGCTACAAAGAGAAACAGATTAAAGTTGACATACAGAGATCAAATCAGAAGTCGCTTTGTTGCCATCGCATAATTACAGTCTAGTTGTACTATCTTTCCGACCTATTCAACTGGAGTTGCATACCAGTTGAGCCACTCATAGTCCTGCAAGGCATCATGGGCTCTATCACACCACATGGAAATTGTTCCAAGCTCCATCCATTTATACCCATGGTCAACACATTTTTTCCGTAGCTGTTCAAGAAGAATATCTGGGATGGATTTCCAGCCGGCCAAATCTTTTGGAGTACCGCTTCGAGCACGCTCGGTAAGGATTTCTACTGCTTGGATGTTGTCGTCACAAATTTCGACCATGATTTCTGAGACTGACTCATTCTGTGCTTTGTCAATCCATGATTGCAAATTTGGCCGCGGAACTTCTAGCTTAGTGACCAAGATTCCAATCTTTTCGTCCGACGCATTTGCAAGTTCTCTCCAATTATGTATACCGCAGTCCTTCATGAGTCGTGAAATCCAATTCGATATATTGCCCCTCGTGTTGGAATTGATCTCGGGAATGGAAGTTTCTATGCATTCTCGTAGCTCATCCCGATCAGGTTCTGGTGGAGTGGTCAGCGTCCAAGATTTATCGTTACCTCCATCATTTTGTCCACTCTTTTGTCCCTGCTGTCTACGAAGCCTCGCCTCTGCTGCCTGCGCCTGTCTTGCTTTGCGTTCTTCCGCATGGTGGTCTTGAAGATGTTCCATCGCGTGCTCTACAGCTGCAACTACGTTTGAAGCTCGTTCGAAATCTATGCCCTCGTCCTCGTCCATAGCCTGTCGTTTGTTTTCCAAGGCCTTTTCGGATAGTTGTTCGGCACGCCGGCGCAAAAAGCTCCAATTTAGATCTGGTAAGAGTTGGCGATACATATCGGGGACATTGCTTAGCTCGGGAAACAATTTGACACAGGACCATAGAACTCGCGGTGATAATCGAGACAAATTTTCAGGTCGAAGGGCTTCCTTATTAGAAGCATGTATGCCTTCCAAAACCGCTTGCAAGACATCCCGGGGGATTCTGTCAACAATTTCTTCCTCCTTTGTTTTGTTAACGCTGCCTCGATAAATTACTTTCAAGAGATCGCCTCCGCCACTGCCACTGAGGTTCCTTTCGCCCGAGAAATTGGTCATCTGGTACGAACGAGCCTGAATGGCTGCCAGTCGAGAAAAGGAACGGGTGGTTTCATAGCTYGAGAGGACCACATTTTTCATACCCTTTCGAAGAATTACCCCCATTTGACMCTTGTCGTGCAATGCACCCATCAGGGCTGTGGACATGTCGGTAGAGTGCTCACCCTTGCCGAGCTCTCCTCGACGTCGACGCATATCCGCCTGGCGACCAGCCCGTCTGGGATTGGCAACCGTAGCTCCATCGACCAATCGGCGTCCATCCCCAGCCGAAGCCGACAACTTTGTAGATTTCGTTTTGTGTGGTCGTTGCTTTACGTTTTTGCCAGAGGGGAAAACGCCGCTCGTCGTATTGAAGTTCTTGTTGCTACGCCCTCGTTTTTTACCGATTGGAGCACTATTCTTGAGGTACTCCTCTTGTGCCTTGATCATCGCAGGCATAGATTCTGTTGCCACTTTGGAAGCCGCGCGCTTCGATCTGCGAGTGCCACTGCTGCTAGATGGAGAACTCTGATCATTGCTGACTGGTTTGCTTTGAATATGGCTGTTTTTCTTGTTGCTTCCATTTGTATTGCAAATCTTAACGTTTTGAGCAAATTCTACTTGGACACGTTCTTGGTTCGAGACAAAGTTGGAAATCGGGGTTGAACCATCCGATGGAATGGGTCTCGGCGGAAAGCCACCTTTGATACTTTCTACGGGAGCTCCGAATTCCTTCGAAGCACTTTCATAGAACTCTTTCGTAGATGCCGTGGACGCAAGCGAAATTACCTTTCGTCCTTGCCTAGATTGGAGACAAATACTCACTTTCGATGCCATATCAGGTGCTTCTTTCCTAACTACAGTACTGTGCAGTGAACATATAGGGATCGAGCTCCTTGAAGTTGGAACAATACCAAATCAACTTATTTTTTGATCATGGTTGCTTCCTCATGAAGTTCCCTCTTGCTACCGGTACGAAAAGGTTCCGTGATTACAGTGGGGGTATTTGAACGTAATGCAACAAAAAATGCAACAGTATAGAATCATGTACAAGTCTACGTACGTACACCTCGCTATTATCCTACTCACCAGCACAGTCTCGAAATCCCTCAACTGATGGGTGTCAGTTGGGAATAATTACTGACACAATTTTTGACAAGGCAAATTCTATGAAAAAAACACAAATCGTGAAGGTAATTCTCAACAACCGACGATCACAACAATGACAATGGTGACGCCATCTTCTTATCAGCTATTCAACTTGCTCCTCTCCTTGTTGAGGCAATCAAGCAACAAAGCAGTCACAGTTACTACTGACAATACTACTAACAAGAAAAAGCAGTCACAGTTAACATACTATTTTAATGAAGCAAAGCAACCGAAGCAACGCATCGAAGCAAAGCAAAGCAACGCATCGAAGCAAAGCAACGAATCGAAGCAATGAAGCAAAGCAATGAAAGCAATGAAGCAAAGCAATGAATCGAAGCAAAGCAACGAATCGAAGCAATGAAGCAAAGCAACCAAAGCAAAGCAGCAAGAACCAAAGCAAAGCAACCAAGGCAAAGCAACCAAGGCAAAGCAACCAAAGCAATGAATCAAAGCAAAGCAACCGAAGCAACCAAAGCAACGAATCGAAGCAAAGCAACCGAAGCAAAGCAACCGAAGCAAAGCAACCGAAGCAAAGCAACCGAAGCAAAGCAACCGAAGCAAAGCAACGACGGAACCGAAGCAACGGAAGCAACGAAGCAACCGAAGCAACGGAAGCAACGGAAGCAAGGGAAGCAACGAAGCAACAGAAGCAACGAATCAAAGCAAAGCAACGAAACGCAGCAACATATCGCAGCAAAGCAATGAATCAAAGCAAAGCAAAGCAATGAATCGCCGAAGCAACCGAAGCAAAGCAACCGAATCGAAG